GTTTGGACATGTCAGGCTTTGGGTTAATAGTTTGTGAGCTCAGATGGCAGTTGCTGCTTCTGTTCCTGTGGTGTAACTCGTGACACCTTTTTTAGTATGTAGGTCATGTGGAGTACAGTCTATGGAAGGCAATAGCCAGGCCTGTCATTCATGGTATTGACCAATCTTGCTCGGAGAGACAGGCTATATAAGTGGAGCACCTGTCTTATTATTGGCATTCTATATTGATCTTAAATAATCTATGAGGATTACTGATACATGTTGGTAAAACCAGTCATGTGAGCTTTAAAAATGCAACCTGTATTCAAACTTAATGTTGACAGATCTTGTAGTAATTGTTGTGTTGATATTGGTTACAGTCCCTCACCAATACAAAAATATACTACAACAAAATATACTTTTTTGATAACGTACTTTGAAGAGAATAAACATGTTTTCCTGCTTTTAGAAAGAAGCAACTCTCGAAGTCTATCATTTTATTAAATATATTAGTTTCTCCCACAACTTTTACTTTACATGCAGGTTTTGAACTATTAAAGACACAGAGTGAGTTAAAGATTCTCCTTTATCAAAGGCACGGCCTGTTATTTCAGCTATTGTTCTGGTGCTTAAGGAGGAAGTATGCTCTAACAGGAACACAGTTTCATGTGGAGTTTAGGTAGATGGGATCTCAGAATGAATTGGATGGTGGTCATTAAATTAAATATAATTACATCAAAGAGTGAAAAATATTTTTTTTTAATTACATTTGTTTATGCTAAATTATTAAAGAATGAACATAGGCGGTGTTGTTATGAACAATTTAAAATATATATATATATAAATTGACAAAACAGTCTTTACTGAAAGTGCACACATAAATTAACTTTTTTAGCCCTTTATTTGTTTGTTTATTTATTTAAAAGGGATAGTGCACATAAATGAACATAAGGACAATGTCCAAAATGTCTATGAGCCAGATTTAGCCGTACAGACTAATTTTTATTTGGAGTCCCTGACAGGTTGAAGTTATGAGAAGGAAAAGCTGTGGAGAGCGAGTTTCACTTATTTATCTCTGCCTGCTAGAGGCTACAAGACCATTAAAGTCCTGGAAAAGCTAGTTAGTGCAGAGTGAGTTAAACTGCTATCTACAAGGTCAATAATGAACTTAATTAACTTAAAAGTAATTTTGTGTAGTTAATTGAAAAAGTACTTTTATACTTTTACTTCAGCAATTTTTACTTTTACTTAAGTAATTCTTTATGGGAGTAATTGTACTTTTATTTGAGGAATGATTTTCAGTACTCAACCCACCACTGGCAGACCTATTGTCAAAAGCACAAGAATAAAACAGTTTTGGTCGATATGGGACCTGTAAGGGTAATCCTTTTTGTTAAAGATATGATTGATTTGTGTGTAGATTGCAACTTTGGAGGCTTTAACAAGCTCTCATTCACTAATAGATTTAATCAATGTTTTAATTGGCAGATTCCAGTCAGCTTCAATAACATACAAAAGTTGAGATGTACATGATTTCTAAAATTCATTCCAAAATACATGTTTCTGCATACAAGTTTTGAATGTGCAGAACGTTTTAAAGATGAGCAGAAATCTTGCTGAAACACATATGAGATAGTCCAGTGCTTTGTAAAATACTTGAATTACTTGAGATGAATAAATTTATCATTGATGTGAAAAGGTGGAGCACATTGAATGAGGTTACTTCCCCAAACAACAGACACAAAAGAGGAGTGAAGACTAAATCATGCCTGCTTGTGTGCTGACTCAGAGATTAAATGAGAAAAGTAGATCTACAGGAAAAAAATATTTGAAAACCTGAGAGCTGCATTGCATTATATTATATTATATTATCAATAGTCATCTGGTGCCTGAATTTTGTGTTTTCCTTTACATACATAAAATAGATTAGAACAGAATAGAATGCCTTTATTATCATTGTCACTGTCAAGTACAATGACATTGGATAGTCATCTTTTTATAGTGCATAGAGCATATTGCTAAAATAGAAACATTAAGTTAAAAAAATATTTAAAAAAAATAACATATACAAGTATATACATATCAATAAATAGTAAAAGTAATAGCAAGTATATATTAAAAAACAAAATATATACATTTATTCATTTAGCTGATGCTTTTATCCAAAGCGACTTACAATTGCTATTTATCAGAGGTCACGTGCCTCTGCAGCAACTAGAGGTTAAGTGTCTTGCTCAGGGACACAATGGCGAATGGGTCACAATGGGGGATTGGACCTGGGTCTCTCACACCAAAGGCAGGTGTCTTATAGCACACCAACATAGGTAGGTGTGAGATATATATATATATATATATATATAAAAATAAATGAAAATAAAAATAAATAAATGAAAATAAAAACAAATAAGCTGAAAGATTTCATTTTAGTCTGAAGACTTTTACTGGGTGCAAAATATAATTTCTTGAGCTATAATGCAGTAAACATATTTTAAACAAAATGATAAAAAATAAAAATAAAAGAGCAACTTTACACCAGCCCCCTGAGCGGTTTACAAAAGTTGCTTTCCTTTTTGCAACCAAATCCACTGGGTCAGTGTTTTTTCTGTTCCTCACTGACTTTCAAACTGCCGTTAACAACTCACGCCTGCTTTGGTTCTTTGATAAACTGATCAAGAACGGTATTGTGATTGGTAGTTCGCTGTGCATGCAGAGCCTGCTGGTCATTCATTAGATACAAACTCTGTGTATCCAGGAACCCTTAAATCGGAGTAAATTTTTTTACATTAGACAGACTTCTTTTGTAGATTAGTTTTGGAAAATGAGAACCGTGCAAGTTTTCATTTTGTATAAAGCAGCAAAGAAGTTGAGGTCTTTGACTTGCTTGACATTAAATATGTGATGCGATGTGAGTATTTTACATGGGGACAATGCTGAAACGATTTATTGTACAGCCCTAATATATATATATATATGTATATATAAAATATAATAAATATATAATAATATATAATAAAATAAAATATCTAAAAGACGATATATTGTACAGCCCTAATTTATACATGTATACATATATATATATATATATATATATATATATATATATATATATATATATATATATAAGTATAAATTGATGTAGAAAAGGCAGAAATTTGGTGCATAAAAATTTACTACAATGCAGGAAATTAATGTTTGCTTGTTGAAACAACAACAACCTGTTTCATTGTTAGCAGTTGACACTGGTGGCAGAATAAGAAGAGTGAAAAGATGGTTTGAATCTGAAAGTGAAAGATTTATTTTACCACCAGCACACACCTCACACTATTGTTACCTTACCTGCCACCGCATTACAGTCAGGACTAAATCACCTTAGACAGTCTATGCTTTAAACTGCTCTATGACAGCTGTGATGTGACTCACGGTATTTTCCCATTGTTTCAGGAATAACTGTTGAAACTGTAGAACTAGGCAGATAACTACACTAATACCAGATTAACATATTTCAGTGTTGAAATGAGTTGATTTGTATAAGAAACAGATTCAGATTCTCAGCAGCCCAATGGCAGATCTGTGACTGCAGCTAATAATATTTTTAATTATCTTTAATTATCTATCTTTTTAAAATTAATTCACAAATTTAGTGTTTATTATTGACCTTGAAATAGTTTGACAGAGAAGAATCAAATCAAGGACCAGTACTAGCTTTCAACCACATCTCATGGTCTATATGAGCTGAGAATGTTTTTATGACGCTGAGTAACCTCATCCACTGATGCAGAATGAGATGCAACTGAAACCTCTTTTGTCAAATAGATGACTTTTCTCGTCTTATTTACTCACATTATATATAAGAGCAGCAAATCCTCATTGTTAAGTAATCAAATGTTTGATGTTTTTGAATAAATTAATTATTGATTATCAAATCAAATATATAGTTATCAAATACACAGTTCATTCATTATATGTGAAATCTATTTACTCAGCAGTAGTATGATGGAGATTTTTTTTTAAATGTGTTTAGCTATAGTGATGTGAAGCATAAGGGTGAAGCAGGTGGCTGGAAATAGAGCAGGTAGATTTTTGTCACCATGGAGATTTGGAAATGTGGAAGAAAAGAAGAAAAATATATTGACGTGTTTTTGGACTTTAAAGGTTTGTGTGTAATATAAAATGTCTGATACTAAATCACATAGTAGAGCCTGTTAAGGTAAAAAGTAAAATAAAATAAATATAGAATTTTGCAAAATAAAACTCAAAATAGAATTTGTCACAAAACTGTCACATTATTTTACAGTTGAAAGCTCTGGAAATAGTAAGTGGATCTTGAGTTAAAGCTGGAGTAGGCAATGTATTACAGAAGCATGGTTTGTTATATTTTCTTAAATTCTCTTTACATCCCGACAGCAATTAATAAATCAAACGCTCTGACACAAAATCAGAGAGGGATCTGGGGCTGTAATCAGCACTACCTGCCTACTAACCTGTCTTTTTTATAATTTGTTATTTTTTACCCTGTCTGCTCTCTGCCCGTGCACTCACTGAGCATAAACATGGGTTTTGGTGGAGTGCCTTTGGAGGGAGGCTCTCTCTTGCTAGTTTCTCCATGTTGCCTACCGCAGATCTAGAAATAGATCATTCTTCCTGTTTCTCCGTTATTTCTGATTCTTGATTTTCCTGATCCAAGTAAATAGGCAATTAAAGCAAAAAGGGCTGTGGATATCCTGTTGATGTGCATTTCTTACAGTATTTTTCACGTGTTATTTAAGCAGTAATTCAAAGAGACTAAATTCGTTTTTGATCTTGTTCTTCGATGCTTCACAATATGCACGTGTACAGAACAGACAGACAGATGATATTGTAATGATCACTGACACATTCTTCACTTCTAGTCACGTAATCTGTGTTTGGAATCTTTCCGTGTGAACGATGCATGAATCATCAGTGGCGTGTGTTTCTGTAGCATTCCTGTGAGGTTGAATGAGTTATTGTAAATGATAGGAGGGTATGTCTTCACGCTGCAGGGACGCCCTCCCTGCGCACCAACCTGCCAATCAGTTATCTGACCTCGCATCTTTCTGCCTGATGTGATGTTGATGCGTCAGTGTGACCGTGTGCTGCTCGTGGATAAATGATCACTAATCGCCATCAGAGGATGAAGGACAAGTCTGTGAGTAGCACGAATACTGCACATACTCCATCTTTTGCTTTTAGATGTCAGACCATTATTTTCTGTTGGCAGGAAGGCTGTTTTTTATTTTTTCCTGTTGTGGTTAGACTGTGTGAAGCCGAGGCAAACACATGTCACAGTGACACACACAAACAAAAACTCAGATGGTGCTGTTTTCTGATTCTTTAAATGTATTGTCTATATTTATCTATATTTAATATATAATTTATAATCCCAGCAGCAATACAACTTATTTAATTAGTAAGCCGTAAAATAATTAATGGGTTCCGTTCTGTTTTTGTGAGCAGCAGAAAATCAACATTTAAACAGCTCATTTGAAGACTAATCACTTTTCTCAAACAACAAGCCAAAACCACATTGTTGAAACTAATAAATTCTTGACAAAGTGCACATTTCCATTTATAACTAAGTGTTGCAAAGGAAATAAAGCTTCCTTCTCTAACTTCCTTTGCAGGTGCTAGAATAGAGGCTTTAGTAGACTTGATATTCAGTGATAATTACTCCATATGCCGTTCTCTCCTATGCTAGTGTAAAATCTTTTGACAAGCCTCGTAACTATTAACAGCTCCAGTGATTTACTTAAACAAAGTAAATCTAGATGTTAACCATTTCATTCAATTAATACATCTAATAATACATCCAGGCAAAACAGCATATCGAACATAGGCTTGTTAAAAGGGAAAGTACAACTCTAAAGTGACATGCTGCTCATTAATCTCTTCACAGCAGCTCTCACTTGTGTATAAAGTCAGAACTCTTATCCCTGCGTTTCTTAATAATCTGAGCAAACACAAAGACATTCTTTGTCCTGGAGCTATTAGTCTCATAGCCAGAGTCTGTGGCTTAGTGTATATAGTAAAGTTAAAGCTGCTGTAGTAAGAGTACAAGTTGTCAGAGTACTTAGCCCAGACCACGTGGAGTGCTGGCATCTGCGTGTCACGCCCTGAGACCAGCTCAGCATGGATACTTTTGCTTTTGGTGGCTGTGGCGTGCTGCTCTGGCCTTGTACGAGTCCTGGATCTCCCACTGTAAAAAAGGACCATCTAGTGGCGATCGGTTCTCACTTTGTATGACATTCTCCAGTGTGCAGCGCATTATGGGAGTTGACAGCTGGCGTTTCCACAAGTATTAAATCCAACACAATTTCAGAACTTGTGAAGATAAATCAGTTTGTTGCAAATCTAAAAAAGGCGTAATCGTGTTCATATTTCAGAAAAAAGTTATTAAATAATGGTGTTATCCTGTATTGTGGCACGGGACAATATGCACAACATTTGTAGTCTCACATAGTAAAAGTGTGAAAAGTTTGTTATACCAATTATTAATTAATTATTCTACTTAGGGGTGTAAGAAATGTCTAAGGAAGCTAAATGAATGACTTCCTGTTACTGCTCAGGCTAACTGAATCTTTTGTGGTTATTAAAACAACATCTGGCAAAAACTGGAGAAAAGGGAGCCAAACTGGACTGAGGAGGGGGTGAATATGCCAAAAGAAAAAAGTAGACGCTGTTGTTCAGTCTGAGGAAACAAATGCATCAAAACAAATTATACGTTTTAAAATGGACTTCAGTCCTTATTTATTTAAGGATATTTCCTAAGGTGTTGACTTTTATATTTATTCAGGTCCCTTTTCCTAAAGTGATTTGAAGAGAACTAGGAAAACCTTTTAAAATGCTTTAAGCAGCAGAGCTTTTTTTTCCTATGAAGCGTGTAAAAACTGCTACCACTGTGAGTTAAAACTTGTCCTGAAACAATTGACAGAATCTTGAAATAAGGCGGAACATGTAAAAATATCAAGCTTACAAAACAGTCCATCCTTCAGATAAGTGCTTGTACATGAGAAACAAGTAAAAACATGCCATCACACTTTTATTTATACACTTTCCATGCTTCCGTGCCGGCGATAGCCGTGGCCAGAGAAAGGGGGTTTTGGTGTTGTCCGTTTTTCCCGTTGACGTGAATGCGAAATCTCAAGAACACCTTGAGGGAATTTCTTCATATTTGGCAATCAAATATCACTGTGACTGTTTCATAACGCTTTAAAATAGGTTTTAGCCATAATTTAAGGAATTGGACGACATGTCAATATGTGTAACACACATACTGACTGGGACGACACAATGAGTAAACAACAACTAGGACAGTAAAGGCTTTCCTCCATCTTGTTTGTTCTGCTGTTCACTTCCTGCCTCATCAGAATCACGTGACTACAAACACCACATTGGGGCTCACCTAGCTAATCGTGATCCTGTGAGTGAGTGAGTGAGTTTCACCTACAGCTCCGAGAAAGTCTTTGCATCTAGAAATGCCACAAGAAAACAAAGCCTGCCTTCTAATCCAGGCTGAGTGTGTTTTATAAAGCAGGAGTAATCCAAGCACATAATTCACACATGGCCCAAGTGCCATTGCTTGTTGCCTGGGTTTGTGGGAGGCATCTCTGAAGTATCCACGCTCAACTGTATGAGCCTGTCTGCTTCCCATGATGCACCTCCCCATCTCCAGCCTGGCGAAGGCCTTGAAAGAGGCTATTGTTCTTGTCACTCTGAGGCATTTTGCATGCACTTATGACACAGAGTGGGAGAAATGATTCCCATCATACCCCTGGAATGTCAGTTCTGTATGAATAAATGCTGCTCTTTCGCAGACTTTACAAAGTCCTTTAGTCACAAATGTACTTGTTTACATGCTTGAAAGAAAGGGAAACAAATTATTGTACAGTACAAAAAGTATTTTGAAGTTTTCTAATCAAAGAGCAACTTCTTTTTTATGCTGATGTCCTTCCTCATTTAGGCAGTTTTCATTTTTAGCCAGACCTCGAGCAAAGACCCCCTCCAGACCTGATTCAGATGTCTGAGCCCCTGAACTGAGTGATCTGTTAACACTGCAAGAAAACAAGTGGCTTTCAGGACTTCTCTCCCCCTAATTCTTTTCTTTTCTCCCTGAGCTTTGATTGATGTGCAACAAACCCCGGTTGGAGGAGCTTGAAGCTTCTCTCATGGATTTTTCCTGCATGATGTAATGTTTTGATGATCCACTATGCAGAATGCCATGTGCAGTCACATCATAACAAAAGAAATATCCTCCCACTGAAAAGGTGGACTTCCGTGTCTTCTTGGCAGATCATTTATGCTTCACATACCATGAGACCCTTTGAATCCGCTAAACAGGACATTCTTTCCTTTGACATGTGTGAGAATGTTTGATTCTCTCTGTTCTCAAGTTCCAGGCCACTTGAATAGAAGTGAAGCTTCCTGATCCTAATTCTGCATCTAATAGCGGTGCCTAAAATGCTTCTCCTTGTTTTTTTTTCCAGTCCTGAGCTGAGTTGCAAGGGTGTACTACTACATCTACTCTTGCTATGCAGAGTAGAAGCTGACATTTTATTCAGGAAGGACGGAAGTCAATTTCACTATTCATCACGAGATTGGGATGGGACAGGAAAAAAAGTCAACAGGATCAGGCGGGACAGGAATCATAGGGCTGTTTTTTTTTTCTGTTCTAATATGAATAAACGCTATTTTCTGGGGGGGAAGGGACAGAAGTTAAAATCAACTTATTATCATCACCCTTTAATGCAGAGCTCATGAAGCACTGCCCTATCCATCAGCGGTGAGTCTATTTTTAACCCTGCTGTATCATGTATCACCTCGTGCCATTTTGTTCTTTTGTTCAGCAAGGACAGATCTTTCTGTACACTCTTGCGTAGTGTGGGAGGTGTAGGCCTCTCCCCGACAATTGATCTTCCTTGTGCTTTTGTGTGTGTGAGGTGAAGCTCACGTCTCCCACTGACCTGTTGCGGGGCTTGAAAATGTGCTCTTCCCATTCATTAAGCTGGGCGGGCTGCACTGCTACCAAGCGCTTTCACTACATCTGTATTTGTGGTCTCTGATAGGATCCAGATGGCAGTCTGAAACACCCGTGCAAACCTCTTAGGAGCTTCACATATGGCAAACAGTAAAGGAATATTTAAAGGAGCCTGGCACCCTGGTCACAGAAAGTGTCATAAGAACACATCTAAGTGTATACCTCTTTCCGAATGCCTACAAATGAGGTGAGGTCAAAAGCCTGCCGCCATAGTCAGGGGCAAGATGTGATGAAATGTGATAACACCCAAAGTGACGTAGTGAAGTAGTTGTGAGATGACTGAAAAGAGAGAGCTTGAGCATTTACTCTTACTTACTTATCTGCGCACACCTTGGCCAGTTGCAGCCTAAAGTTACAAAACTCTGCCAGATGCAGCCCCCCTCGTTCTGCTAACTCTAGCTGTTTTCGGTGATAACAGTGTCTCAGGTGTAAATTGGTGATTAACATCCCGAGATCCATTTAGAATTCCTATAAAAGATGTCTGACATGGTCAGACATTGCTTCATAGTTATCAAATTCAGATAAAAGTAATCCAGATGATGTCTGGACATCATGGTTACAGATCAAACAGAAACTACTGGTTGCTTTTCATGCTGCAGATTATAACTCTTACAAAGACAGGCCGAAAGTCCTGCAGTTTCAGATTGTACACATTTTCTTTCATAAAAAGTTGGTTGATTAAAGGGTGAAAGATAGATAAAAAGTAGCCAATGAGATACCATTCAAATGGACATTTAGGCGAGGTCTAGTGAGTGGTCAGGACTGAGGGAAAAGTCCGAAGGCTCATGTGCTGCTGTATTTATCTGGGCCGGGTTATAATCCTCCTCCAGTCTGCTGCTGCTCTGCTCTGTAGCGCTCAGATGTTTTGCTGCTGTGAATGTGGTGGCGGAATGTACGTGGCATTTGCTCCACTCCATTGCTGAATCTCCCCCACCACACATGAAAAAGGGGATGTTTGTTTGTGAAACAGCGCTCTCGGGGCCGTGCACACCATCCTTTTTTTCCCCGGCATCTTGGACCTGGAGACATTGCGCAATATGGTGGCTCGGTTAGCAGGAGGAGCACCGCTGAGTTCATTCATCCGCCTGTCAAGGGCCCCTTTTTGCTTTTATTTT